TGGGTGTTCGTGTAGGGTTTTTGGGTGTTCGTGGGTGTTCGTGGATGTTCGTGGGTGTTCGTGGATTGAAAAAATCAGTATGCATCGGAAATTTTTTCTAATGCTCCATCGTTTTGGGTGTTCGTGGGTGTTCGTGGAGTCAACTCGGCAAGCTCTATCTGCTGGGAATATCAGATCTCGGTTTGGGGATGTTCGTGGGTGTTCGTGGGTGTTCGCTTGTTTTACAAATACCCTCATAAGAGCGTGAGCTGTACAGCCCTAGTATCTATTTACCGAGCACATTTCGAGACAAGTAATTGTTTTTAAACGTTAAAAAATGCGAGAAATCAAATCGACATAATGAAAATAATGATACTGTACATGATTTCGCGTTTTTTTCTCGAAACCATTTTTTCATGAAAATGTACGAAAATGTCCTTGTTTCTCCTGTCGAGTAAGTCCGATCGAGCTGGAACTTTTGTACGTATATTAGACGCTGTTTACAATGGGTATTTGTTTTTTTAAACTATTATTCTGCTGATTTCAATTTGCTCTTACGAAAAAGAGCTACGTTCAAAAACCATGCATTCTTAGGATACCTACGATGTTTCGGATTATTTGTTCTTGTTCGAAGCACAAAATGTAAAAACAAGGCAAAAAACACCAATCTCAAACAGTATCTAGTATCTGTAAAAAAGAAAGTTTCAGCTCGATCGAACGTAGCATCTCGAAGAAGTGGAACGAAAATTGGGGCCATCATTCGCAATTATGATCCTAGTATCTCACAGAAGGAAGGATCTAGGAACTTTAAGTCTATGAAAACTTTTGCTCTACTCATTAGGATCCTTCTGCCTTGAAATTTCAAATTTTTCTCATGACCCATTCCCGAGAAACCTCGTAAAAAGGGAGAAGTATCCTTTAGAGGCAAGTGGTAGCCGGTCGTCGGTGTCCCTACAGGTCATCACTCCCAACTGCTCGATTTCGCGAATGAGTCTGGTCTAATTTATAATGTTGCTTCTTTTCTCGTGCAGAACTTTTTTTTACTAATAGGAAGAAATCTATTCAAATAAAAAAAATACACATCGTTTCCAGTCACAAAACTCGAAAAATTGGTAGGAACTTGGAAGCAGGTATCCGGTGATCGGAGCCGGCGTCAGAATTTTTCCAGTTTCAGCTGGAAATGACCGTAACCGGACAAACCTGACCACTGGATCCGATCACCGAATTCCTGCTTTCAAGTTTCTACCAATTTTCTGAGTATTCCAATAGAAAACGATGTATTTTCCTGCGAATTCCAGGAGGGCTGGACAATATCCCCAAAAATCAAGAAATTATGCTATTTACAGTAGAAATGCTTTATCCTCATAAACTCAAGCAGAAATGCTTTTCAATAAACAGATTTCGTTCGCTATGGAACTATTTCAAGTAGAAATGCTTTATCCATTTCTACCCTTATAACTAGAAATGGAAAAGATATAAGGAGATAGCAATCATTTCATTTTTCTTTTGATGGATTGATTCTAGTAGCAATGAATAATTCATTTCTGTCGATATAAGAAGAAGGCAACATAGAAATGTGGGTAGCAGGACAAAGAATAACAGATGAGTTCGTACATATTTTTCTATTTCTGCTTGTTTAAGCATTTCTCTTTAAAAGGGAATGATTTCTGTCTAAATTGAAACATATGTGTAAGAGTAGTGAGTCATAGACATATATCTATTTTGTCTTTTCTATTTCTCCTTGTTATGCATGACTTTGTGTGGAGATAAAACATTTCTGCTTAAAGAGGAACAATTTCCTCATCGATTGGTCCTATTGTAGACTGCTGGGTTTTCCGCAGGAAGTCTACAGTCTGTGAGCTGGAATGATTGTCCTAGGTGTCAAAATGCACTTCTTATACGCATACTTACTATAAATTATCTGTAGTCAATATTATAAGAAGATTATTAAAAGTAAACCAGTCTGATCGAGATTTTAGATGGTATCGTGGAAATGGGCTTGAAAGATATGCGATAAAAAGCCTCAGTCCCAATTCTGGCAATTCTTTTCTAATAGACCACTGAAAGTCATAGGAAGATTGTTATATGAGCTCTTTGCTTGATATTTAAAGCATCTTCAAATTCTTATTGTTCGAGTTTCCTGAACCAACACATAACATATTATCCTACGATAGATGTGATCTATGCGAATAAGCATTCTGGTAAACAGCAGTAGCCTAATTATTTTTTTTGGCTCGGCTCATTTCTGATGTAGACTTATTCAATAATTAATATATACGTAACACCTATCATACATCGATTCACTAATCTTTTTCTGAAACACATCAAGATGTTGCTTAACTTTAAAAACGGCAGCATTGGTCTACTGCTGTCATAGTAGTTCAATTGATAATATTTTCAGTATACTCACAAAGCAAACCACATTTCTTTCATATTTTTTCGCAAGGTCTTCTTCCAGCTGAAGCTACAAAATCAACTTCAGGTTAGTCGTCATGACTGTTCTCGGTTCTTAAATCCTTATTGCTATGTGTTGGTTTCTTATCAAAACTCATTATGGCACAGAGGAAACAACTTCATAAAATCCTCCTGAAAAAGTTCTCCTAGGAATGAATATAGCTTCCGAAATTTTTTTCAGGATACGATTGAAAAATGTAACATCTAAATTTTCACAACCCTTTTCCATATAAAATAAGAAGGTATGAAGCCTGACAAAAAGTCGTGATTCGAAATCGGTCGATATAGTCAACAAAAATAAAACAGACTAAAACAATTTCGATTAGTGTCTCACATAATTCAAGAAAACGCAATAGATGTCAAACAACTCATTTCTAAAACATCCGCATCTACCGCTTATTTATTAGAACAAGGCATCCATGTAATATCATATTCGCTATGTTTGACAAACTTGGGACTGTAACCTTTGGCAAAGTAACTACATCAAACCTAGATTACCTGATAAAATGAATGAAACGCAATTTGTTCGTGTAGTATTCCGATAATAATAATAATAAAACTAGAAAAAAAACTCAAAGCATTTTCAACTAATTGCTACAGAAGAGAACTTTCGATAAATAATCCTAGCGAAGTTTGTTTTTTTGAACATTTAATAAAATAAAATGTTAACTATTTCTTTATATTTATACGTTTACACCATTGTTGATTAACTCCAATATGTACCTCTTTTATCTGTGTCAAGCACAGTCGTTGATAATGATTGTTTTCGTCTAAACAATAAGAACTTGATAGTATAGAACGCAATAACAACTTGATAAAATATACCGTGCTTCAACAACACGTGCTTTATTAATTTCATCACATGGATGATCCCATGATGATTTACCAGTATCAAAATTAAAATAATATAATTCTCCATTTTCCTCTTGACATGGTTTCCAACCAGGTGGTAATGGTTTCATGATACCTTCTCGAGCTAGCCAAAGAAGATGAGGTTCCTATTGAACAACAAAGATCCCAAACGATTGTTTAAAATTTCTGTTTTTTTCAATAGCTTACTTTATCTGGATCAATACCAATGTATATTGCATATTCACGAATTTCTTCTTGAGTAGGTTCATAAATCTCATCAAATTGTTCTTGTAAAATCGTTTGATTATTTATTTTATACTCCGGATATGTAATCATTATTGAAGACGAAGTTTTTTCTGCTAATGGCAAAAAATTTGTGTATCGATGAGCGATGGGCGAGTTGGGTGTGGATATGGGTGGGGTGTAGGTGTGGGTGAGGGTGTGCGTGAAATGTGAGTGTGAGTATGGCTATTTGGGTGTGGGTGTGGGTATGGGTGTGGGCATGGGTGTGGGTATGGGTATGGGTGTAGTGTGTGGCGTGGGTGTGGGTGTGGGAATGGGTGTGGGTGTAGTGTATGGCGTAGGTGTGGCTATGGGTATGGGTATGGGTGTGGGTGTAGTGTGTGGCGTGGGTGTGGGTATGGGTGTGGGCGTAGTGTGTGGCGTGGGCGTGGGTGTGGGTGTGGGTATGGGTGTGGGTGTAGTGTGTGGCGTGGG